GTATCTCCTCTACCACTTTAACTTATTTTAAAATATTCTTCTTCCAGTTAAAACCTTTTCTATTTCTTGACAATGTGTAGATTAACTGAATTTAATGTATATTTTTCATATTTATATATATATATTGACCTGGACAGACTGGAGGACTGGGCGGCGAGAAACCTCATGAGGTTCAACAAGGGCAAGTGCAAGGTCCTGCACTTGGGGAGGAATAACCCTGGACACCAGTACAGATTAGGAGTGGACCTGCTGGAGAGCAGCCCCGCAGAGAGGGACCTGGGTGTCATGGTGGACGACAAGTTGACCATGAGGCAGCAGTGTGCCCTGGTGGCCAAGAAGGCCAACGGGATCCTGGGGTGCATTAAGAAAAGCGTCTCCAGCAGGTCGAGGGAAGTGATCATCCCCCTCTACTCAGCCCTGGTGAGGCCACATCTGGAGTACTGCGTCCAGTTCTGGGCTCCCCAGTACAAGAGGGATGTGGAGCTGCTGGAGAGAGTCCAGCGCAGGGCTACCAGGATGATCAGGGGCCTGGAACATCTGCCCTATGAGCAAAGGCTGAGAGAGCTGGGTCTGTTCAGCCTGGAGAAGAGGAGGCTGAGGGGGGACCTGATCAGCGTGTATAAATACCTCAAGGGAGGCAGTGAGGAGGAGGGGGGCGGCCTCTTTTCAGTGGTGGGCAGGGATAGGACTAAAGGAAATGGCTTCAAACTGAAGCATCGGAAGTTCCACAGGAACTTAAGGAAGCATTTCTTCACTGTGAGGGTGACAAAGCACTGGAACAGGCTGCCCAGAGAGGTTGTGGAGTCTCCTTCTCTGGAGATCTTTAAAAGCCGCTTGGATGCAGCCCTGTGCCACGTGCTCTAGGTGACCCTGCGTGAGCAGGGGGGTTGGACTCGATGACCTCTGAGGTCCCTTCCAACCTTCGGCATTCTATGATTCTATGATATTCTTTCACATGTTTCATCTGAACACGTTTGTGAAAATAGCTCCTAAAAACATATGGCATTCTACATGCTCTTCCTTGAGAGTTTGAAATACAAACACAGACTCTGAAAAAACACCTTGGTGTTTTATCAAAACTAAGTTACTGTAGTTCTGTTTAGTATTATATGTGAGAAATATAGGAAAGAACTTTAAAATGCAAATATGAAGATCTTATACCATGCATACCAAAGTTCAAAGAACTTTAAAGGAGCTGATGACTAATTTTTAGGTAATAGTTATTATTACACTCTTGTTGCTTTTTTTCACATCCCAGCAAGGTCATCAATTGTTAGTAGGAAAGACACAAGACTGTTTTTAGATAATGCAAACAGAAAAGGAAATGGTCAACAACTGTCTGAAGATGTTTTTGCTGCACTTATAAAACCATTTTCCCTGCCTGATACGTGCAGTAATTCCTTTTAATGCTTTTCCAGATGCGAAAGGACAAATACTGTCTTCACCATTCAAATAATTCTCTTCTCCCACTATAAACATGGTCAATCTCAGCTTTAGTTGTCAGTTCTCAGCACCAGGTTTCCTCAAAGGGAAACCGGTCACAATCAGGCGTACACCATTTGGCTAACTGTAATTATCTAGCACTTTATCTGATTAAAGCGCCGTGGAATTAGTAACCAAATCTCTCATTATTCCTGCGATAACAGAAAGAATCACCATTTTACAGATAATGACAAATAGGTATATATTTAAATTAATTGTCCAGGACCTTACAGAAGCAGTTTGGATTAAAACAAAACAAAGTACTGATAAAACCCAGATGTATTAATATCGCATTAATACTGGTGTTGTCTACTTTCCATACATAGTTAAAAGCGAAACACGCAACAGGCACAAAACAAACCCAAGTCACTGATTTGGGAAGATTTTTGTTATATATAATTAAGTGCTTACAGGGAGAGAGAGGAGAGGAGAAAAAAAAAAAAAAAGGTCAGGTAAACCTGCAAGAAAGTCTCCTGGTAATCACCCAGTACTTATATTACTTATATACTTAAGATAAAAAATGCATTTGTGTAATGCATTTTTATTAGCATCAAAAGGGACAGCAACTATAAATCTTTTTTTTCTTCCCCACTACTGTTTTTCACTTTTCTTAATGCCAATTTTCCTTCAAAAATTTTCCGCCAAATAAAAAAGCAGTTCCTCCAGTACAAACGATACTTTCCATCTACAGCCATGAAGTTTAACATAATAAATACGTGCGGGGAACCCCTGCGCTTTGGGTCTAGGCTGAGCAATGGCCGAGATGCGCCAGAGCTCGTGGTGTCCTCCCAGGGCAGCTCCCTGCAGGAACGCTCACACCAGGCACCCAGGTGACTTCACCGACAGCAGCTGCTAACACAATTTCACCTTGCACAGTTTTCACCTTGGCTTGCTGCAGACTGGAAATATGCACCACAGCTGCACAATTCTGAGTTTCCTATATCCTGCCTGGAGTTTCAGATGCCATTTACCTTGATTCTTCTGGTTCAGCTTAACTCCCAAAAAAACAGACAACCATTAAAGCTAAACACACTGATAATCTATTTGGCAGGACTTACAGTCCAACTTGTAAAGCCAAGAGTTACAAGATGAGAAACAATGTTATGAAGGAAAAAAATAAAACAAAGCTATTTTAGCTTAGGCTTAAGAACACAGTGTTTCTTGCAGAAATTGCACAGTATTCCACTGCATCTTAGCTGAAGAACAGAGTTCATGAACTGTCCTACTTAATTTGTCTAAGTCTGGAGACCAGTAACAGTTGCTCCCGACATGAACACCTTCATCCTTCCCCCCTTTTCTGCACTCGGGGCAGGTGTCTTTGAGCAGGACTTCCTTCTCAATTCAGGCTAACCACAGCAGCAACGCTCAATCTAAGTACAGATTATGTCTCAAACAGCAGTAAGTACTCCTGCTATTTAAAATATTTGCTTTCCTTAGTTCACACCTACTTAGCTGGAGCCACCAGATTTCTGAGCTAACTCCTCTAGTACAGTCTAATTAGACTATAGTATTAAAACCTTTCCAAGACAAATGATAGATTAATGGACAAGATACTTTGTCATGACATGTTTTCAAGAGCAGACTGCTCATCATCTCATGTGCCAGAACTCTTGGGAAACAACAAACTCTAAGGTCTACAGTTGGGAGCCTCTGTTCTTTTTGTTTAGTTTTTCACTGCTGTGAGAAGTGCTGTAGTATTTTAGAACACGTTTCCATTAATGCAACGCTATTTCTAGCGCTTGATTTCAACACCACTGCTACAGCATAAAACAAGTGTTAAACCTACGACTAATCTGATTTTTTTCTTTAGGTTACTTTCTGGAGCTGGTAGCAAGTCCCGAAATACAGATTTTACACTCAAAGCCTCAGTAACAACCCAGCCATGTGTCAGCTCCTCCAGTCTTCCTACAGGCCAGCTTGGAGAGCTCAGGGCTGCAGAAGTCCCTTCCCTCTTCCTCCCCCCCTGGAATGCGTGGTGCCAGCTCTGGAGTTTAGGAAGGAGATAAACAGACAACTGAAACTACGTCCTGCGTGTGGAATGTCCCACGTCCCTCGTGACCTATGGAGAGCTCCGGGCCTCCGGCTCCAGCGCGGTCACGCTATTTATCTGCTGCACGAGGAAGCGGCGCAGGGCGGAGGAAAGGCCTTCACTAAGGCCGGTGCAAAGAAAGGAAGACAAGGGAGTGTGGAAGAAGCGTGTTATGTTTACGAACTGAAACAAAAGGTGGGATTACAACACCCAAGAGCTCCATCAGCGCCTCGCTGACCGAGAAACTCAGGGCAGCCTGCCTTTAACTGCAAACGCTACCCAAACCCAGAAGCTCCTTAAAACCTTGATAATAGCAGTGCGGGGCCTGGGGGAAGCCCGAGAAGGCGCTGGAGGTGCCCAGGCCTCCACGCTCGCTGCCGCGGCCCCGGGGAGGCCGCCGCGAGGGGCCGCGCGCCGGGGCCCGC